CTGATGCCAGGGGCTTAAGTGGAGTCCAACTGTTTTGAGGATGGTGAGGGCAATGAATGTACAAATATGCTTTACACAATTGATGCATGTATGGGTTGTGATAAGAGTTGTATGAGCCCCTAATAAAACTATTAAAAAATAAATTAATTAAATAAACTAAAAAAATAGAAAATATCTAATTGATTTAAGAACATTATATGGTTTAGTAATACAAGTCCTTAAGAATTTAAATTTAATTATTATCAAGTATACTTAACCTAGAGAAAAGATACAGAACCCTGTAAGAGTATGTAGGAACTATATAATCTTTAATAGATAACTTATAAATATAGATTAAATTATATTTTTAGGGATAAAACTTTCTAGGGCTTTTATAATGTCTAATTCTAATAGTTAATAGCTCATAACAATATAAAATTAAGGTCACTATATAAAAATTGAGTTCAAAATACCATGAAAAACAGGCTTAGAGCATAGAAGCACCCCAAAGAATGACAGGGAAAGTCCCTTAGGCTGACACCTATGAGCAAAAGAAAATTTCTCTTAGCAGAAGATGTAGTGTCCAAAAGTATAAATATAATTTCTATATCTAATACCGTAATTTTTTTCTTCAGTGAGTCCCTTAGAAAGTTTATAGGTATACAAGATTGCATCTTTATTTCTTGAGGTATTCTTCACATGTTGAACTTCAAAATGCATGTTTTCCACGTTAGGATACAGAATATCCATATGGCATAGTTCCAGAAAATGTGTAGCAAACAGTGTAAATGCCTGCAACATACAATAAACACTGAATATGAACATTTAAAAACTAACTAGAAAATTCCATTTTTTTCTTTAAAAACTGAACAATGGCTTGATTTTCTAAGTAACTTGACAGAGATACCGTAATATAACTAATAACTTGGAGGCTAAATGATCAATTCATTTTAAAATATTTTGAAAATTTACACTCAAAGAAAGAAATTTTGGCTAAGTTTTAATAAGCACGTGTATGCTACATTACTGCAAAATCCAAATATACAATACAATCCTAAGAAATACATCTAAAGATATAGAAAGATTAAGCTTACCAGAAATAAAGCTATTTACTGAGGTAACTTTATTAAAAAGGCAATCCACAAACAAGACCATATTTCTCTCAAGTTTTTAAAAACTTTACTTTAAAAGTAGCTTTCCCACCTTACAACAAATCCTGTTGACCTTTGGGTTAGGCATTGGGTCATTCACTAGGTCTGCAGTTGAAACCCGCTCACCACTTGTTGGAGTGGGAGAATGATGAGACTGTATGCTCTGGGAAAGATTTACATTTTTGGAAATCCTAAAGAAAGTCTCTGAGTCAGAGTCGACTTGGTGGCAGCAAGTTTCAAGGTTTATAAGCAGTGGAATAAATGGGTCATCTAGATCTTAGTTTTTGAAACTGAAAAGGTCTTTATTTTCACTTATTTATTTTAGAGTTTAATATTTGTATGTAGTTTTTATATTTTTGGTCCCTCTTCTAGAGTTTCTATATCTTTATCAACATGAGATTTTAAAAAGACCATCCATCTAATTCTTTGCCTGGCTCATCCTTCGGTATCATAAATGCTAGTTTCCTTTTTCCATCTTTATATTTCCCCCCAAAAAAAGTATTTTAAGGGAGAGCACAAGGTGCCACAAATCCCATACAAAAGATAAACACTGGAGATGAACTCTATGAGTTAATGTATATTATAATTTAATTCTTATTTCTTCCCAGTGTGCTATTGACTCTACTGGTTTAGATTTTCACTATGTACTCTTTTAAGAATCTTTGTGCTTTTACTCCCTGCATGTTTGATTTTTCTCACCCATCTAAACTTAAAATTGTTTTTTACCTAACTACTATTCTTACTTTCTTGTCTACCCCTTATTCCACAATATCACCTTCCCTAAGACATTGAATTTGGGTCCTGCAATATCTACTCTTCTATTGTTAACCTAACATTGAGTCTGCTCTGATGCATAGCAGCATAGTGTGCAACAGAACGGAACACTGCCTGGCCTTGCACTAGTCTCTTAATTGTTATTATGCTTAAGTACATTGTTGCAGTCATTGTGTCAATCCGTTTTATTGAAGTCTTCCTATTTTTTGATGATCCTCTACTTTGCTAAGCATAATGTCTTTCTCCAGAGACCAGTCTGTTCTATAACATGTTCAAAGGATGTAAGATGAAGTCCATCCATCCTTGTTTCTAAGGAGCATTCTGGTTGTATTTTCTCCAAGAAAGATTTGTTTGTTCTTCTAGCAGACCATGGAACTTTGAATATTGTTAACTAAAATCGGAATTAAAATGCATCCATTTGGTTTTCCTTATTATTTAGCTTTCATATACCTATTAGGCAATTGAAATACCCTGGCTTGAGTCAGGTGTACCTTAGTTCTCAATTGACATTTTTGCTCTTTAACACAGAAGTCTTTCTTGTGTAGCAGATTTGCCTAATGCAATATGTTGGTTTTTTGTTTTGTTTTTAATTTATTTTTAATTGTGAATTAAGTGAGCCTTTGAATTTCAGATAATCAATTTTGTATTCAACTTTATTTATAAACTGCCCTCCCAAGAGTTTGCATGCTGCATCCCTGCTGCATTGTTCTTCTCTCTCTTGTGGAATACTTTCTTAGCCTTCACCCAAGTCAACACCTGTGTACCCTCTAGCCTATTTCTCCACCGTCTCTCTTTTGCCTTTGTTATTTATATCCCTTTTCCCTCTATAACAACGGTCTCATACAATATTTTTCCTGTTGTGATTAACTAATTTCACTTAGCATAATATTCTCTAAATCCATCCATAACATGAGGTACTTTGTGCTTTCATCATTATTCTTTAGTGATGTAAAATATTACTTTCTGTATATGTCCCAAAGTTTATTTATTCATTATTCCACTGAGTTAGTTAATTGTACCAGCCTGGCCGATAATCACATGTGGTGCTGGTTGAAAAGCGGAGGGATAAATGGGTGGTGAAACCTCGCCTTTTGTATTAGTCTAGGTACTTTGGAGAAACAAATCCACGGCGACTCACGTATAAGAGAGAGTTTTATGTAAAGAAAAGGTGCATCACGAAAACATCCCAACCCAATGCTGCCCATGCCCACAAGTCCAACATTAACCCATTGACCCAACACCAGTCCACAAAGTCCTCCACCTCACAAAACAGAGGCAATGATGCCGACTGCAGGAGGAAAGCTGAGTCCATGAACGTGTAAGCATCTCAGCACTGGCAAGGGTCTCCACACGGCTGCTCCAGCACCCAGGGCTGCATCGGGATAGATCCATGCGGCTTCTCCTTGTAGGAAATCCATCTTGCAAACTGAAGCAGGGAACTGCTAAGGCAGCTGCACCCGATGCAACCATCACAAAACAAGAGACCCGAGAACTCGAAAGGCGAGGCTTCACCACCCATTTATCACTCCGCCTTTCAACCAGCACCACATGTGATTATCGGCCAGGCTGGCACAATTAACTAACTCACCTTTCTAGTTATCGGGTCTCTTGTTTTGTGATGGTTGCATCAGGTGCAGCTGCCTTAGCAGTTCCCTGCTTCAGCTTGCAAGATGGATTTCCTACAAGACATCCCCAAGGAGAAGCCACATGGACCTACCCCGATGCAGTCCTGGGTGCTGGATCACCCGTGTGGAGACCCCTGCTAGCGCTGAGATGTTTACACATTCATTGACTCAGCTTTCCTCCTGCAGTCGGCATCATTGCCTCTGTTTTGTGAGGTGAAGGACTTTGTGGACTGGTGTTGGGTATGGGTTAATGTTGGACTTGTGGGCTTGGGCAGCATTGGGTTGGGATGTTTTCCTGATGCACATTTTCTTTGCATAAAACTCTCTCTTATACGTGAGTTGCTGTGGATTTGTTTCTCCAAAGTACCCAGACTAATACATCCACTGACGGGCATTTGTTTCTGTCTTCTTGATATTGTGAACAGCGTTGTGATGAAAATGGATGTGCATTTATCTGTATTTGATTCCTCTTACTTCTTTAAGGGGATTGTTGGACATATGAAATTTCTGTTCCCAGTTCTTTAATATAGCACCATATCAGCTTTCTAAGTTGTTACACATGCTCACAGTCCAATCAGCATTGCACGAGGGTTCCAGTCTCTCCCCATCCTCTCCAACATTGGTTATTTTCTGGGATTTTGTTCGTTTGTTAAATTTTATTGTCAGCACTGATATATGGTGGTATTTCATACTTTTATTTGCATCTCTAAGATGGATAGTAATCTGGAATGTTTCTTCATATGTTTACTGGCTGCCCGGATGTCTTCTTGAGTGAAATACCCATTCATGTCCTTTGCCCATGTTTTAGTTAGATTACTTGTCTTTTTCTTGTTGAGATGTTACAATTTTCTACAGATTTTAGAGATTAGTCCTTTGTTTTTGTGCATCACTGCAAAAACCTTCTCCCAGCCTATGGGTTCTCTTTTCACTCTTTTGATGAAGTATACTGATGCACACAAGTGTCTTAATTTTAGAAGATTCCAGCCATCTATTTTGTCTTCTGCTGTATGCGTGTTTTTCATTGTTTGATACGTGTTGATGCCATATATTAGGGCACATAAGTTTGTCCCTATTTCTAATGGATGATTTTTATAGCTCTAGGGTTTATATTTAGGTCTTTAGTCCATCTTGTGGACTTTTTTTTGTAAATGAGTGAGGTGTAGGCCTGAATCATTCTTCTGCAAATGAAAACAGAATTTTACCAAGACCATTTGTTGAGAAAATATCTCTTCCCTATTTAATGTTTCTATCCTTTATAAAAATTAGTTTCTGCAACTTCTGTAAATTTACAACCTTATCAGCGAACAGACCTGGAATTATGTAGGCATGTATGCCGTGTATTGTTGTTTGTTTGTTTTTGCTAGTTATTTATTTTTTCCTCTTTTTAGTCAATCTTTTGCTTTCTTTTTGTTTCTCTTCCATTATTGTTGGTTTGTCTACCTATATAAGACAGGCATGGGAAACAAGCCCAAGGAGAAAGCAACAGGACTAACAGTCCTGGAGGGGCTTGGGAGGAGGAGGTGGGGGAAAGAAGTCGTGAGCAAAGAACGCTATAGACAGGGGAACAACTAGAGAAATAAAAGCAACTACCAAGAGGACATAGAGATCTAGTGGTGTTGCAGCAACAGCAATCTAGCTGAGAGGAATTACTAAGAAGCAAAAGAAGGGTGAGAGTGATGGTGGGGCATGAGAAAGGTAAAAGGAAACAGAGGAAAGATCTAGGAAACAAAGCTGTGGATAAAGGTATAAACATAGGTGTGCACTTGTGTAAATATATTAATTCATAAAAATACAGGTATTGGCCTATGTACATATATTTATATGGTAAAACATGGAAGAAATGGACAGACATTGGGGGCTCCGCTCAAGCCCTCCCTCAATGCAAGAACACTGGCATCACAACCTGGCATTCTATAATGCTCACCCTCCCTACACAATAACTGAACACAAAATGGGTGCATAAGCAAATGTGGTGAAGAAAGCTGATGGTGCCTGCTATCAGAAGATATAGCATCTGGGGTCTTAATTACTTGAAGATAAACAAGCAGCCATCTAGCAGAGAAGCAACAGGCCCACATGGAAGAAGCACACCAGCCTGTGTGATCATGAGGTGACGATGGGATCAGGTATCAGGAATCTAAGACCCAGAACAAAACCATACCCAATGTGAATGGGGGTGGGGGTGGGGGAATGGAGTGGAGACTCAATGCCCATCTGTAGACAATTGGACATCCTCTCACAGAAAGGTCACAAGGAATGGATGTGTCAACCAGGGTGCTGTACAGCACCAATAAAACACACAAGATTCCTCTGGTTCTTTGAGGCTTCCTCACCACCACCCACTATCGTGACCCCAGTCATGCCTTTCAGTTCTGGATAGACCAGAGCATGTACCAGAGCTCACAACACACAGAATTCAGGTCAGATAAACCCCTCAGGTACAGAAATGGGAGTAGCAATATCAGGAGGGGAGAGGGAAGGAGGGAGAGGAGGGGAGAAAGGGGAAACTGATCACAATGATAGATACAAAACCATCCCCACCCCACTCA